CAAAAATTACATAAAACTTAAAACCAAAATCGGGGAAAATGTCTTAATCAGAACTGCGCTAATTATATTTTTTTCAAATTTTGTTCTATTTCGGGCTGTCAAAATTGACTCCCAAAGGTATACTTTTGATTTTATTTTGAAAAAAAATACCAATACAGTTCGATTATTTTTGTACAACTTCGGGAATTTATTGGAATATTAGCCAGCCTTTTCCAAAAAACCCCAATCCCGTTATTTGATTTGATCTTAAATCGATACTATACAACACAAACTCAACGTTGTGGGTCAAATCACACAACAATATACACGTTAATAAATTAGGATGTTGTTGTTAATGTCAATTTGTAACTAAATATCACACTCGTTAATTTTTTATTTTCAATTAAAGATAAACATGTGATTTTTTTATGGACGAAAGAAAATAAAACAAAGAGTTTTAAAAACACAAAAAAATAAATTAAAGCTAATATTTAATTATTCTGACTTTTGATATTATTATTATTGATGTTGTGACAACACAATTAAGCACACTATCATTTGAACAGTACTCTTGCCTTTTTCTTTTCTGGATAAAAGAAATGAAATAAGAATTTAAAAGAAAAACAAATAAGAGCAAACATTTAATAATAATTGAATTCAAAAAATGTATTTTTGGGATTACTCACGTGTTTTTCAGAAACAAAAATCCCATTATTTCATTTTTTATAGGACATTTTTTAATGCTTAAGGGATTCATGAGGATTGTTAATTTTTCTGAGGATGGTAAATATCTTAAACATAATTTCTTTCAATTTGGATTTTTTTGCCTAAGATCAAAAAGGTATATTTTGAAACACATGATTTTCTTTAAAAATGCTATTTATGGATTTTTTGAAAGATGATTCTTTCAGTTGATTTTTACAAAAAAATAATCTATTTCTATTTTCTGATTTACCACTAGACTAACCTTGGTTTAAATGAAAACATTTGACAGACATATAAATTATCGAAAAAGTCGATTTATTTATCAAAATCACAAAACAAATTAATCTCACAATTTTTAATCTTTTTCACAAAAAATACAATTTATTATAAATCAATTCATGATATTTCAAACAATAAAAATTGATAGCAAATAACGTACTGATAATTAATACTTTATGCGATGACAATTTATGTATTTGCGCAAATTCAAAAAGAGAGGTTTTGGATATCGATAAAACAACGACTGATAAATAAACAAATTTTTAAAATAAAATCATTTTTGTTTTAAACGGGTTTATTTATATTTCAAAACATATATACACAAGAATATATGTTTATATTTTTTTATTATACAATATTAATTCTCAATAGAAATGTGTTCAATTTATCAATCAATTTTATATATTATTTGGCGTTTTTGTTGTGTTTTGACGATTTTTGATATAATCAATTAACAAAACTCACTTTATAAAAATGCTTTGATAATTTTATTTATAGAATTTTAAATCAATAGTGGCAGTGCCATAAATATCTCTGAGGATGGTAAGTCGTGTAACAAACAGACTTTATCAACACGGACTTAAACATCTAAAAAGTGAAATGACGTGTTCCCATATTCAAAAATAGTAACTTACTCAATATACATTTCAGACAGATGTAAAAGTGTAAACTTTCTATTTCTGTCATCCTCAGAAAATAATTGCCATCCTCAGAACTGTAAATCTGTTTAAAACACAAGTTAATATCAAAATGAAACAATCATATTAAAATATACACAATATGATTAACTTCGTTATTACAATAAATTTGAATAATTGCATAAATTACAAAATTATTAATAAATTTGTTATTTTAAAAATTGCATTTTTATAAATTAATGTTTTCGACTTTTTCAATTTTCATTTTGATAAAAAAACAATTATCAATTTAAATGTAAATTTTAATTATTATGTTATAAAGACGGATTCGGAAATAATTTCAATAAGTATATAATTATAATATGAACAAGTTTAATTCATGTTTTGTTATTTCCCGTCTCAAGTTCGCGCGATACAATTATTGTTTTTGTTTACTGATTATTGTGATGATTTTTTGATTGTTTTTAATCTTTTGGCATTTATGACAAATTATTACCATCATTTAAAATTTGAACTTTGACTCGAAATATTAAGTGTAAATTATAACTTGAGTTATGAGAGTGGGCTTTATGGGGAACTGAACCTTATGGATTTGTTTTTTGTATCCTCAGAAAAATATTTTTTAATAAGGATAGCTTTAATCCTGAGGATACACCTTATCCTCAAGAAACCCTTTAATAATTCTTCAAGTAAAAAATATTTATTGAAGATTGTTTTTCTCTTTTTTACTCGGAAATATTAATCAAAATTTATAATCAAAAACCAATTATTAAAAATAATAATAAATGCAAAAACTCAGGACATTTCAGTACCAACTTTTGAAAAACAATTTATATCCGATAATGATGTGAGTGGCGCATACAAATTGAGGTTTTCAAGTTTAGCACAATCTTTGAACGCATCTTTCAAACTGTTTCAACTTTCTGTGTTCTTAAAGCATTATTTAACATAGAGCATCCCATAAAAGTACCTTCAGGAATCATTGTATTTTCAGACAAATCGGCATGTTTCAAAGTTTTGATTCCATCAAAAACATGTGTTCCAAATGAAGTAACTGTTGGAATTGCAATATCTGTAACAGTTGTGATTCCTTTGAAAGCCATATTTCCAAACTCGGTCACCGCCTTACCAAAAGTGATTGTTGGCATTGCTGTTTTTGTGAACGATGACTCGCCAAATGAAGTGACTGCTTCAAATCCAGTGACTGTTGCCAGAGAAGTGCAACCCTCAAAACACTTTGCTGGAATTGTTGTGAGTTCTGTAACATCAATTTTTGTCAGAGCAACACACCCACTGAACGCTTCATCGCCAAGAGACTTGATTTTGTTTGTTGTTGTGACTGTTGCCATTTTAGTTGCACCTCTGATTGTTTTTGCACCAATCGCAACTTTTTGTTCTGACATATTCACAAAACTTGTAATTAGTTCATTACCCATGAAAGCGCCTTCGCACAATCGTTGAATATCTTATGTTTTGATTGAAAGTGCTCATTTACATTTTTTTATCGTTTTCTTTGTCTTTGATACACGTTTTTGTATTGTCTAGTTGGTAATTTTTTATTTTTTGATTGCTTTCGAGCAAAAGATTAAGTAGGCAGTTAATATATATATATATTTGCATTTGGATGAATGAGTACTTTTTATTATTCTTTTTATTTTTTTAAAAAAAACAAAATTGGATTAAACTTTTTAATTTAAAACTATTTTTAGAACAATTTGTTTATTGTTCAAATATTATTTATTCATTTTGTATAATTTTGTTTCAAAATAATTTTGAATGTTCAATATAATTTAAATAATAAGAAAATCACTCTCGAAACACAAAAATATAAATAAATTATTTTGTTTTTTTGTATTGTAAGAACAAAAGAAAGTGGTCGTAAAATTAATTACATTCAAGTAGCAAAACAGTACAATGTTATTAATATATACCAAATACTGTATATTAAATCAATACACTCAAAACACAATTCAAAAAACAAACTGACAAAACGCAAAGAAATCAAAAATATATTCTGATTTTGATACAAAAAGATTTTTTAAAAATAACGAATTTAACATTCTATGTTCACAAACTATTTATTTAAAACACATCTTCACACTATTTAGTTTTCCAATTTAATTTTATTCAAAATGTATATTTTAATTATTTACATTTCAAAAATATATCACATTGTTTTATATTTTATTATATTTATTTATAATACACTTAATAAAATCATAATTTGTCAAATAAAACATTTACTGAAACGTTTTTAATAATGTTAAATAATTATTATCAACTTAAAACACTCAAAAAACATTTTTAAAGAGATTAAACAAAATTTTTTGGTTCGATTATTTATTCAATAGACTTATTTATAAATCCAAGTGAAGTACACACAAAAAAAGATTTCATTTTGTATTTCCTTAACAAACTTATGAATAACCAAAGTTTTGAAATAATAGCCAAATAATTATTTTCCATTTTAAAAGACACTTCTTGGGATTTAAAACTTTAAAACCTAAACATCTACTTAAACCAATTTTAATAAAACTTATTTGTTTGGTATATCAATTGAAGTCAAATAACAACAAATATCGAAACTTGGTTATGTAAGTCTTTTTAAATTCAAAAGAAGTGGAATGAGGAACAAATAGTAACTAATACAAAACATCTCTTTTTGGATAATACAATTGAATCATGATTTTGTATAAAAACAATGCATTTCATTTATCAAAACAATGAACCCTATTTATTTAAACATCATTATTATAACAACAGATGTTAAACATTTGCATACCCAAAAATGCATTTGTATAATAAACATTGATGGCTCCACATATTAAATGTTTTTAGAGCATTACACTCATTAAGACAACAATATTCAATCGAAAAATACACAAAAGAAATGTATTGTTTTTTAATTTATCCAATAATACCAACAATTGCAAATAAATTTCAAAACACTATTTAAAATATTCAATATATTAAAACTTCAAAATTGATTTAATTGATTATTGTGACCATGTAATAAAATCGATATGGGAATGGTGTCTCTGAACTTTTCTATTTTTTTACTCGACATTTTTTCATTTATTAGAACATTATCTCAATGATAATTTATTTAAAAAACCTATTAATTCTTGTATTTACAATACAAGAATTAATACAAAGCTTTTTCAAAAAAAACTGTGTATTATACATGTTTTATCATGTAAAAAAATATTAATTAGTTTGGTGATTAAAATGAAGATATTAAAAACTAAGTTTTTTAATAATAAAAACCCAATCACAACTAATTAATTTCTTCTTGAGAAAAAAAATATTTATATTATTAAAATAGTTATTTCGATGTGTGAATTAAATTGTTTTGAAATGATTATATCTAATTGTATATAATACTTTTTTTTCAGAACAGTACATATTGGTTATTACTAATAATAACAAAATCAGAATTGCAAGACTATTTCATATTTGAATTTCAGACATTGTACTAAGGATTCGACCAGGATCATGGTTTCGACTAATAATTAATAATTTCCATATCATTGTAATAATTAAATATATAAAGTTATATTTGAGACGGTTATTTAAAATAAATCAGAAAATTTGTTCAATAATTTTTTTGGTAATTAGTCGAAACATAGGTACTTGTTATTACTTTAGTCCCACATTAAGTTTCTGTACTTGTGTGTTCGTGTTTGAAACACATAAAAATGTGAACAATGAAAAACAAATAAAAAAATAATAAAAAATAAAACCATTTTTTACAAAATCACTCTTCTTTTTTTCTTGGCACCCCTTTAGTTTCTGGCACCCATTTTATACTCCATCCGTGTTTATAAAACCAAAAAATTAAAGTGCTTTTGTTTATAAAAAAGAATCTAGTTCTTCTATGATTTGCGTTATGTTCAAACGATCAATTGGATTTGTGCACCAACATTTCTGAATGATTTCATATTCCTTATCAGTCATAGTTTCAATCTTTTCGACGCGCTTGCCTGACATAACAAACTCTGCTATTTTCCATGGAAATTTGAATTTGTTTGTTGGATACGCTTCTTTCCAAGCAAAAGTTTCATACATTGTGATTCCAAATGAGTACACATCTGCTACACTTTTGTAGTGTTCCTTCTTTAATACTTCGGGTGCCATGTAACTTGGTGTTCCAATACATTTCGTGAAAGTCATATTGGTCATTAACAAATTGATGTTTCTACTTGACCCAAAATCAGTCAACTTCGCGTTAACTTTGTCGTTTATATCAAGTGAAAATACCAAGAAATGTTCGGGTTTGATATCTCTGTGTAATATCCCGTTTGAATGCAAATAAGAAATTCCTTTTGCTCCATCAAGCAATAGTTTCACCCTTATTTTTGTGTTAATTTCTGTAGACAACTTGTAACTTATTAAATCATTTAAAGACCCAAATTTTGCAAATTCAGTGACCATACATGTTTTGTTTATATCAAAAACTGCCCCATAAAAGTGAACAATATACTCACTTCGGAATTTGTCTAACATTTCAACTTCTTTTGTAAACTCTGCCATTTGATCATCCAAATGATTTGAGTTTTTCATTTGTTTGATAGCAACAATATTTCCTCTAAAAGTGCCTTTGTAAACAATACCAAAAGATCCTTCGCCAACTTTTTTATCTTTGTTGATTTCGTCATAGTCGAGTTTTGTCGTGATTTCAGTCGAAAACCCAATTTTGATATTATTCGTCCCAGTTACACCAATTTTTAAGTTGACTGAAATTAAAAGAATATCATCTGATATATTACAAATGCAATTCGGAATGACCGAAATTCCAAATTCAACTGCTTTGCCTCTTGGGATTACAATCATTTGTGGGACCGTTTGTAGTGAATACTTTTTTCACTTTCTTGTGTTGAAAATTGCACTTTGATTGAATTTTTGGAACAGTTACCAACACACAAAAGTTCTCGTGTTTCTTTAGAAACAGGAATTTCGATTTTATCGCCACTAATAAATTCAAGTGCATTTTTATTAACAACTATTTTAGATGATGGTGTTATCGGTGTGAAATACACATTAGATTTGTTCATTTTAAAAATAGTTGTTCTTTGTTCCTGTTTTTGTTTGTGGATTATCTTTGATACAAACTTTGTGAAATAAAAAGCAATGATAACGAAAAATACAACACATACTATCAAAAAGAGAATCACCAATAAAATGATCCACCAAACTGCATGCGGTTTACAACCAATTTCATTTTCACTTGGAATGTACCAGAAAGAACATTTGGAGCATTTAGAATTATGTTCTTCTTTACAATGTTCAATTGTTGAAAATAAAACACAAGACTGTCCCGATAAAATGTAGTTTGGTTTACACGAAGTGCATTGACCACTTTGTCTATTACAATTTACACAAAAAGACGTTTTCGAATCACAGGAAGAACAAAATTGTTTGTCAACGAAAAAGCCATCATTACACCTGTCACACCCATATTGCAATACCTTCTTACAATTGGCATTTTCTGAATAAGGAATACACTTTGTCGAATTAGTTAACAAGAAATACTCTGATGCACATTTTAAACACGTTGAATGGGTGTTACAAAATTCAAATTGGAAATACATGGTTTACAAATGACATTATCTCTATAATACCCATCCATACATACGGCACAGCCACTTAAAGATGTTCCTGGAATTGCATTTTTACAGTTTTCTGTTGTTTCTTTTGAATCAAGACACATACCTGTGTTTTCTTTAAAAGCGTACCCACCTTTACATAATTTACAAACCAAAATTAAATCATTTTGTTTAACAGAAGCGTCATCCAATTTAAAAGAGCGCGTACTTGATACACTTTCTAAAGAACAAACACTACAATTATTGCCACAACTTATACACGTCTTTTGGCTGTTTAAATAAAAACCATTTGGACAACTTAAACAGAAGTTGTTTGATGTACTAATAATTTCACAATTCTTATTGATTGTAGAGTAACACTCGCCGTCGTACAAATAACTATTTTCTGAACATTCTACACATTTATTAAATTCACATTTGGTGCAGTTCACACTTTTATCACATAATACACATGCATTACCATTAAAGTACCATGTGTTCAATTCACGTTGACAGTTGACACATAAACTATTTTCAATCACTTCACACCCACTGTTTAATATACAATTTCCATTAAAATCCAAAACACCTTTTGTGCAATTTGTACATATTTTTGAATTGCAGGTTTCACAATCTTCACCATACGTTTCTGAACATTTAGTACAAATTGTTGCTTTATTTGGAATTATTTTAATGTAATACCCCTTTTCACATGTTACAAAATTATCTTGTGAATATAAAGTGCCTTCTTTGGATAAAGAACATTTTTCGTTTTCAAAATAATAATTTTTGTTACATATAACACACCTCAAACCATCATTAATACATACATTACAATTAATATCGATACACTTTTCACAACTCGTTACATTTGAGTAATATCCACTATGACATAAAATTGTATAATTTAATGAAAAAAGTTTAGTGATAGTATCGTCATAAATTTTACATTCACCATCTTTCAAATAATAACCATTTTCACATTCGATACATGTAAATGAATTTTGTAAGTTATTTGACACACAATCATTACAATTGGAACCGCAACGGTTACAAGAATACACCAAATTGCCATATCCATTTTCACACTCTTCACACCCAAAATTGTTGTTCAATTTTGACAATTGAAACAGAAGACACGTCATAAC